AGAAGAAGAAGAAGAAGAAGAAGAAGAAGAAGAAGAAGAAGAAGAAGAAGAAGAAGAAGAAGAAGAAGAGACAAAAGATTGCAGTTCGGGAAAGGAAGCTGTATCATGATTGTTTAATAATTTTGTCATTAAAATGTGTTGCGACACGGTGGAACCAGGCGCTTTTTTATTTTTGAGCATGTGGAGTTATTGGTATCATCTTAAATCTCGTTCAATTGCCTTGGTTTCGGAGGAAAAATATACAATCTATCTTGAATAGAAGTCGAAATATTTGAGATTGAAGGAGGCGGGATCGCCTGGTTTCAACTGTAGAATTAGCGAGAAAATGGCCGCCAAAGTGTTGTAATTTCCATAGCCTGAGAGTCCTTGGAAACTGAAAATGTACGTTCGTTGTGCCTTTAATCAATGTTGTTCAGTAAAATCCACACAAAAATGTTTTTAAATGAACATAATGAACACGCTGGGAAGGGATGGAGGCGAGATGGAGAGTACAATTTATAATTTCCTTTGACGAATCTCGTATTCATGAACTTACTTCTATTAAAAATATTGTATTAATGATATAACTTGTAATGACAGGCATCCCGCATTACTTCCCAAAATGTGACACAAAATAACCTGTAACCGCACTTTTTGAAACAGGTTTTCTAAAAATTCTTTTTAAAATTGATTATCGACGAATAACGCCAGCTAACGACGCAGAAAATAATTAGCGGTTGATTGACTGTAATGAGAGTGACGCCAATTATTTCCGAAAATGCAACTGGGATAATACGTGTCGTTTACACATTCGCTCCTGTATTCTCTTATGACCTTCTCAAGAACTTTCTGTTGCTACAACTAATCTCTCACAAATTGGCCTAATTTTGGCTAAGTAAAAATTGTCATATGGCAACTTCATTAAAAACATATCTCCTGTAGATCTACTCGTTCCCTTTTTGACAATAATTATTATTTGCCTTTTCTACGTAATTATCACCTCACCTTGCCTTCTTTGTGCTGCACGCGAGCGGCAATAGAAGTTGGCCTACATAATTATTGTCTCATGATAATAATATAATGCACTACCTCAGCAAGCACTTTCACTTGTCACCAATGCTCTCCAGTTTGTGCTTCTTTCGTTGTACTAGTCGGCAGAAGATATTTGGAGACGTCTCCTGCGAGCACCCAGGAACTATTCGGAGAGGTACTCCCCGCACACAGATGCACTGCTATATTGTTTACTGTAGATCACACATATAGCCACTGAAACTGTCACAAATCAATTATTTTCAAGAAAATTTGAAACCTAATTGCAAAATATCAATTAATTACTTGGTCTAGAGGAAGATAGCCATTTGATTGGTCTGTCTCCGCCGGAGACGTCTCCGAATAGATACTGTACACTAGGCAGCTAGCCACAGTCGAACCACTATTAATTAACGACGAAAAAGACGGTAGGAAAGAACATAGATCTAATCGGGCCGTAGGACCACCTATCATATTTGACGTTGTTTGCGAGTATGCTTGGCAATTTGTGATGGAGAGGAGACAGCTTTAATATCACGCAGTTCACCATCACTGATTTCGTTGTTGTTACTTCTTCTCTGGCTTAATATAATCAGCACAAAGAAGCTAACAGAGACACATTGGAGGCTGTAGGAGCTATTTGATAGAGTAAAGAGTAACATATACAGACAGTTATAATCATAATAATATTAAAGAAACATCACATAATAATAACCATATAGTGCGGGGAAACAAACGAACCAAAAAGACAAAAAGATCGACAAAATAACGGCCATATAGTACTTAGAAAGAGTAGGCCAGACAGATACAAAAGATACAAATAACAGATGACAAAAAGTAGGACGTACCTTTGTCGCCACCCAACCACTCACTACAAGACAGGAGGTCTACAGTGACCTGGTCCCGATCACAACGAACTCCTGACCATGAACCTGACCACCGTGTTCCCCCCAGCCCATAACGTTATGAGTCGTGACCCAGTGAGCGATGAGCTGCGAGCGTCCATGACAATCGCCTTCTCGCTGTGTCTTCACACCAGCATCATCACCACGGGATGCGTCACCAACGTCATCAACGCCATCATCTTCCTCAGACTGGGACTGTCCGACAGCATCTCCGTCTCCTTTTTCTTCTTGGCAATCTCAGACTTCGTCATTCTCTTCCAGAATCTTCTCGCACGCGTGTTTGGGATCCTGGACTCGTACCTCGGCGTCAATTTCGGAATGTTGGACATCCGAAGTCTGGGTTTTTTGTTAACAACATTCGCCAGCGTCCCTTATGACATAACGGTCTGCATCACGCTGTACACAGCTGTACAGAAATGCTGCTGCGTCGTGTTCCCCTTTCGGTTTAATCGAGTGTTTACGCGGAGCCGCAGCATTTTCATCAACATCTTTATCTACCTTGTTGTCGTCTGTTATCACATACCTGCGATCGCCAGCCAACACCTCAGACTAGTACGGAACCCCTCCAGCAACTCTACAAAACTCTC